TTTATTAGTGAAATATAAAGATGTCAAAAAAGACAAAAACGCAGTATTCCAGTGTGCAATGATACCTTTCTTATTGGACTAACAAAATATATACAAGACAAGCTTTCGAGAGTGAACCTCTCTTCTTCAGGTCAGAAGCAATACTGATCAACATGACATTTTGTCAGTTAAGACAGGAGAAAGCTGTTAGAGGGGGGGTTAATGGGGTGTCATAAATGTTAGACCTGGGAGTAAAAAATTTCTCCTGATTATCAAAAGACAGAAAAAATAAACCCTAAACAGATCAGATATATACAACATACATGAATATTGTGATGTTCTGTAGATTCATAAAAAGTTCTGGTAGTGTGTCAGAAAACCAGAATCCGCATTAGGTCCATCCTTTATGGCGTTGAAATGTAAAATCATTTTCATCTCAAATGTTTTCCTTTCATGAGAGTTTTTAAAATTCCCTTTTAGTACTTTAATTTTGAGGTTTTGGATGGAGTGATTCTTCCGGGAGAAGTGATGTCCTACTGCAGTGCAATATTCATTCTCTTTGTGGTTCTTGATCGAACTCCTGTGCAGCTTAAGGCCAGTTTCCCCAATGTAACAACCTTTGTCACATGCTGAACACTGTATCATGTACACAACGTTAGCAGATGTGCATGAGTATGACCCCTCATACTCATGCACATCTGGTTTTCTGACACACTACCAGAACTTTTTATGAATCTACAGAACATCACAATATTCATGTATGTTGTATATATCTGATCTGTTTAGGGTTTATTTTTTCTGTCTTTTGATCATCAGGAGGCATTTTTTACTCCCAGGTCTAACATTTATGACACCCCATTAACCTCCCCCCTCCTCTAACAGCTTTCTCCTGTCTTAACTGACAAACTGTCATGTTGATCAGTATTGCTTCTGTCCTGAAGAAGAGAGGTTCACTCTCGAAAGCTTGTCTTTTATATATTTTGTTAGTCCAATAAGAAAGGTATCATTGCACACTGCAATACTGCGTTTTTATATTTTATTATATATATATACACACACATACATCTCATCCATTGCAATACATGTTTAGTTTGGTCAACTGCCTCAAAGTGATCCCTCTCTGGCCAACCCCTGCTCTGCTTTGCTGAGAATTGTGCCTAAATTTATTGTCATGTTCACTTTTACAGTCTTTTGAGAGCAGATCACTCTGGTTCACTGAACAGAAGCCTAGCAGAGGTACTAAAAGGGTCATCAAAGAGGATCTGAATAGCTCTACAGAGGAGACCAACAACCATGTGAAAACTTCTTTGTAAGGATATTTTCTTTGTGTCATGAAGACATCGAACAAATGAAATAAGATTTTGCATGAAATGATCTGGGTATTGTAGTATGTATAGTATTTTCTTTTCAGCAGCTGCAATTTTAATGGAAGTAAAATTTTATAAAAGTACATGAAAAGAAAGTGTATATGACCCATATTAATGGGTAAATGGCATATTATAAAAGTTCTTTCTTTCTCTTCTATTAAAGTTTGTAATCTTAGGGTTTTACTGCAGTCTATGGGAAGATTGGACACTGGGCAAGCCTGGGGCAACAGCAAGATTTCATTTTTTTATCGTGTCCTAGGAGGATGGACATCTTTTCTTCAGCTTTTTCTTTTTTTTTTTTTTTTTTCTTCTTTAATCCAAATTCTTCTCAATGCATTGCAGCTAGAGCTGGCCTCTATGATTGCAGTTATCTGAAGTTGCCTTTTCCCAGCTTAGCTTTTGGAGTACAGTGTCCCAACCCCACTGGACTGGATGTTGCTGGGATAACTTGGATGTTATCTTTGGGCAGTGGGTTTGGCCTAAGGCCCTTTCCAAGACCCGTTCTGGTAGCAAGTTGGCCACCAAACTCGTGGGACGAACTTGCCTTGTTTCTTAACAGACCAAATTGTCTGCCCCTGAGGATTATGTGGTTCCTGGTATCCTAGGTATGGTGTATCAGTCATCCAGCACTGGAATTTTTACCTTCTGTAAGACTTGGTCACCATAAGAGAATTTTTTTCTCCCAGACTATATCCTGGGGATTCAAGAGATGCGGTTCCCTGTGCATTAATGTATCATCCCCTTGGCCAGTCACCTATTCTGGATATATTTGGACAATGGCACAATGCTGTTGTGCCCCTTAACCATCTAGGGGGAATAGGAGATCTTTAGGTCTGCAACAACTAATCGATAATAATCAATTATGAGAATATTTGGCAACTATTCTCATTATCGGTTAGTTGGCGGGGGGGAAAGAGAGGGAGAGAGAATTAGATTTTTTTTTTAAATGCAACCAATCGATTAGTTGAAAAAATTATCTGGCAAATAATCGTTAGCTGCAGCCCTTGAGATCTTGCTGCGGCAAGTGAGGTAGTTCAGAACCTGACCTGGGCAGAACCTTACATTTCAGTCCTGTTCACTGTGTTCTTTTCAGGTGCAGACAACTGGTGGACATGCTTCCTCAACTGTTTACATCTGGAATGGGGAGGGAGCAGTTACAAGTGGAGGATGCCAGACGTTGGCATCCTGATACTTTGGTTCAGCTGCATGCTGAACATAATTTTTCCAGTAGTAGGAATCTCCTGGTGGTAGCAGTGATTGCTCTGGTGAATCAGTGGGATTCTCTGTTGTCTTCGATTTCAGGCTGTAAGTCTATACCTTTTCAGCTTCTGACACTTGTGTTGGGCATCCCAGTTAGATTCTGCTGGGTCATTCAGTTCTCGTTCCACCTTTGGGTACCAGATCCAAGCTGGGTCTTAAGGGTCATTTTCTCCCTTTCCTCTTGAGACTAACTTAATTGGCTGTAAGTGTCTCTTGCTTTTATGGCATCATGCACCGGTTCCCAATTAAATCTGTTTTCACGTTTTTTGTTCTAGGTGGAGGTTGTGGCCTTATCTGATGTCGGCTTTAGGCGTAGGTCCTTCAGATAGCTCTTTAACTTTTGTTCTTGGGTCTGCGAAACACTTCCTGCTTCCCTCAATGGACTATAAAGAAAATTGGATTTTTGTAAAAAAAAAAACTTTTTGGAGTCCATTGAGCGACACAGGGTCCACCCCTCTGTGTTCTTGACCATGCTCTTAGGACTAATTTGCTACAAAACTAGAGCATGCTGGTAGAAAGAGTTATCTTGAGCTGGGCTACTATTTTCTTTCTTTGCCAGTGTCCAGTCCTCCTGTAGGCGACCGTATAATCCGAAGGTAAAAGACTTCTGTGTTCCTGAAAGGCTTACAAAAAAAATGGATTTTACAGTGAGTACTAAAGTTATATTGCTTTTATTTTTATTGAGGCTGTAGGTAAAGTAGACCTTAAGAGAAGTAAAGCCAAACCTCTCCTCTTGCACTTCTCCTTTTTAAAGCATATCTAAATTCAGAAAACAAACTCCTATATGTTGTAGTTTACCAGTCCTTAAATGTGTGTGTTTTTTTTCCTTTATTTTTACCTGGTCCTGCCAGTAATCCACTTCCTGTCCTAGGATGACAAAGCTCAATCTATCTGTGCAGGAGCAGTGTTGTCAGTCTAGGCTACTTTCTTGTTTTTAAAATTTCCATTACATGAGGGTGAAGGGGTGCTTGGGTCTAGAGAAGATTCTGGGACAGTTGATAAGCTTGATATTTCAGTTAATTGTGCAATATGTTACAAGGTCACAAGATTTATGGTAAAATCAACAGGTATTTTTCAGTACTTGAAGAAAATGTAATAAGCCAGAAAAAAAATGAATGCAGCCTCCACATCTAATAGACCCCCAATGTCACCTTTAAAGAGTACCTGTACCCTCCAAGACGCCATCACATAGTGGTCTTGTGAGCCCCCCTATGTGATAGCAGTTAAGTAAAAAAAAAAAAAGTTTATAAATGTAAAAATCCCCCCCTCCACGCATTCTAATGCAATCACGCCTCGAGTGCATCTATGTACAAAAATGATGATTCCCCCACACATGTTGGGTATCGCCACATGCACCAGAGTGAGAGCAATAATTCTAGGGCCAATATTCATGGTTAAACTGGTGGCCTGTACAGGCTTTTAAAGTGCTGCTTATAAACAATTTAGGGTACCATATTTTTTTGCCATTTCATCTTTTATATTTTGCAAAAATTGGGTGTTGTTTTGTGCACAAAATTAACTAAAGTGTACTTTGACATTTTGGGCTTGATAAAGAGGTGCACAACCATCATGTGACATAAAAATTTGCAGCTGCCATCATTTGATTCTACAGGGTTTCTGCTTTCAGGAAATATATTATTCTTTTGGGGGTTAAGTCATTTTCAGGCCTAAAATGTGGATTATAACGTGTGCAAAAAACCCTCTGGCAGCAAAAGGGTTAAGGGCCCATTCACACCACATCCATATCATCACCAGACCAGATTGTTTCCGGACCCAAAATGTGTCCTAATGTATCCCTGTTCTATTTCTGGCCTCTGTTCACACCAGCGTCGTCTGTACCAGACCAGAAAAATACTGCATGTCTCATTGTGTTAGACCCATACTGTGCCTGAGGAAGGGACCCTAAGTGGCCCTGAAACAAGATGTGCTCATGTCAATAAATAGACGCATTTAAACATTTGACCTTCGGTGTGCCGGTAACATGTTACTTCATACTAACATGAAACATGGTCACATTCCCCAACCTCCCACACTTATGTGGGGTGCTTCTCCCTGCAGCATTCTCATTTCTTTTGAATTTGACGCTGCTGTGCATACAAAGCCACGTCATCCATTTACAGACTACAGGTCCTATCTGCCACCGTAGCAAAGCACTCGTAGATCTCTTTGGGACACAGGTGCAGTGATGCTATTACACTTGTAGTCCATTGATTTTATTTTTCCAGCTCCATAAGAGTAGGTCTGAACCTCTGTTTGGACTTGGGGCAAGGGGACGATTCTGCAGGAGCCTTGACATTCCATCTGCGATGCACTGATTGTGGTTTACAAAGCTCTACAATAGACCTATGGCTTTCAAAATACATTTCATCATTTTAAATGAATAAATACTTGCAATAATCGAGTATTTATATCTACATCGATTTTAGATTTGACTCGTATCGTATGTATGTGTGTGTATGTATGTATGTATGTATGTGTGTGTGTGTGTGTGTGTATATATGTATATGCATATATGCATATATACATGCATATATACATACACTATATATATACATACACTGTAGTTTGTCACAAATTGCATAGCATGGTAGCACACTGTATATTGCTCATCAATCAGATGAGAGATGATGGATTCCATGTAGAAGAAAATGCAAATGGCTGTTGACTTGTTTGCAGCACTGCATTTATTCATTATAAACACATACCTCTGATATGATTAAAAACCAGGAGATCATTTTAAAATGAGACGCATATGACTTTTATGAAAAAAACACACTATGTCTTATTTTCGGGGTAGGTCTTATTTTTTTCTTTTTTTAAATGCACAACAATCCAGACTTATTTATGTAGAAAAGTCTACATGTATTCATGTACAAACATATGGTGATCAGGGCAATCAGGGGTGCCGTACCTTTCCAAGTGCAATTTGGTAACCAATCACTGGCCAGAATGAGCGAAGCGCGCTTTCACTATCGATTCCTGACAGTGCATTTGCTATCACTCCGCCTGTGAGAGTTCCCTCCGCTGCCACCTCGCTTCCTCTAGCGCTGGCTTCGTTGACACCGCGGCTCTTCAAGTTCCCCCTTATGCCACCACCGGCCCTGGGAATGGTCACAACTAGGTCTTATTTTTGGGGTAGGTCTTATATTTTAGCCATTCTCAAAAATAGTACTAGGTCTTATTTTCGGGGTAGGTCTTATTTTTGGGGAAACAGGGTACTTCAGTTAACATATGTATCTGTTTTTTTTGTCACAAGAGAGCAGCACATAGAGCTTGAACAAATCTTTGTTGGGGCAATTTTGCTGAACTGAGCTGTCTGTGATTTCAGAAACCAGGGGTATGAAAATTACAATACAGATGATTCTGATGATCCCTCAGATTTATCCTCCTTTGAAAGCGAGATGGTGATTGATGATACTGCCTCGAACCACAACCAGTCATTTACAAATTCAGATGAAATGTAAGTATTGATCTAAAAATTTTGAAGCCGCTTTTATTCAGTGTCCATACATAGGTAACTGATCATAATATATGCGCTCCTGCATTGTACATCCATAGACACCTCCAGTAAAAAAATTAAAGGGCATTGTTATGATTTTTAACTCATATGCGCTGGGAAATATCTTAAAATGCTCCTTTCTCTTACCGAAAACGTGCTTCCTGTTCTCTCACTGCAATGCTCTGTACCGGCATCGATGAGTAGCAGCCACACGCCTCATCTCAAGTGTCCTCACTCATACTTAGTGAAGTGAAAGAGAATGGGTGTTTAATCACTACAGCTGTCGTACCTTTACACCTTCTATGGAACAGACCAAATTTTTCTTTTCTGCTGTGTGCCTGTTTTATTCTGCACTAACTTTTGTCATTACTTAAGACAGGGCTGGACGAATCCCAGGAGCCGGGTAGTCAATGCTTCTTAAAAATGACAGCTGGCCCCTAACTTCAGTGGAGCTGGCTCCTGAATTCCATATTAATTTGTCCATGCCTGACTTAGTGACACTAAACTTAGGAGTTAACTCTTACTATTACGTATCTGAACTATTAACACAAATGTATGTGTATCTTTTTTTTGTGTATGACTCAGCTGTAGATCCTCAAATCATCTCTGAATTGGTGCTGACACTGTCCTTCCTTCTGGAGGGTGACTACTTTTGTTCCCCATGGTCCCTGTGTGGGCTGTAAAGTAGCCACTCCTCCAAGCTTGCGCCCGTGATGGACTACAATCTGAATACAAATTAGTAAACTAAACATGAGATTGTAGTCCATCACAGGAGTGATCTTGGAGTGGTGGCTACTTTACAACACACACAGGGACCATGGGGAACAAAAGTAGCCACCCTCCAGAAGGAAGGACAGTGTTGGCACCAGTTCAGAGATGATTTGAGTATCTACAGCCGAGTGATACACAAATAGCTACATTTTTGTTAGTTAGGTTACTTGAATGGATTTAAGTCATAAGTTTATGTGAAACGTTAAAAAGGGGTTAAACAGAAACACATTTTCTTACTTGTCGTGTTGTTTTATCTGATATCACATTGAGATTACAGTTCATCACTTTGAGCTGCAGATGAATTTAACAGAGTAAATGCAAAAGTAGCAATGTTACTCAAGTCTGTAGAAACTGGAGCAGACAGAATTTGGAGCAGTTGGCAACCAATCAGCTTCTCTGTTTCTTTTTAAAAATGTAACTGAACAAACTGAAGAGAGAAGCTGATTGTCTGCTCCAGTTTTCAATAATCCCCCCTCCCATTGGTTGCCATAAGAAAACTGTCTGCTCCAGTTTTCATTAATCCCCCCCTCCCCTTTGTGTCAAAAGATCCAGTTTTTTGTTTTGTTTTCCGCAATAGCTGCTGCGTTTACTTGGCAAATCCTGGTTGTCCTTTTGACAATCAGGAATTGGCAGGAAATGCAAGGCTGGGAGTGGCAGCAGGGGAGAGCAGAGACTGGTTGTCAAAGTTAGAATGGACCCCCGGCAGGTTATGCCGGTAAAGCCTCTCTTCCATTTTAATCTGTGGGGTTTCTGTCAATGCTCCTGAAACACAAAGCAGGACCTGCTGTCATTGTAACAGTGGAGCCCTGCAAATTACACCTGGCTGATGCTGCAGGTCGTCAGTTTTGACAGTAGGGTCACCTTCATCAAATGGAGCTTCATGCTGATGGGTTTCAGATGTTTTTAAACACTCAGCTTCCCAGCTTCACTGTTTATTTAATCTCCAAACATACTTTTGATACATTACAGTATTAAAATACAAAACATTCTGTGAACTGAAACAGCTATATTCTTTCTGCATTATTATCTTTAATTCATTTCAATAATTATCTTTATTTAGCTCAGTGGCACATCACAGAAAAAAGACACCACACAAGAGGCTGAAAAGCAGTACAGAAAGAAACGATTCTGTAAGTAATTAGACTTGTAATACAACTTCAATTCCAAAAATGTTGGGACGCTGTGTAAAATCTACATAAAAATGCAATGATTTGCAAATCTCATATTTTATTCACAATAGAAAATAAAAAACATATCAAATGTTTAAACTGAGAAAATGTACCATTTAAAAAAAAAAAAGGTAATTTTGAAAGTGCTGGCGGCAGCACTTTTCGGAAAAGTTGGGGTTAATATGCAACAGATCAGTAACATGATTGGGTATAAAAAGAGCATCTTAGGCCCCATTCACACCTAGGCGTATTGTAATATGCGCGTCTGTCGCGCGTTTTTTACCGCGATTCGCGGTAAAAAAGTTGCGCAACCGTTGCGCGATTCCGAAGGCTACTTGGCTGTATCCCAATGGAAAACGCCCTACAAAACGGCCCAAAGTAGTCCTGGGACCTTTTCAGGCGTGGGCCGTTTTGTAGGGCGTTAGGGATGGGCGGAAATACGCCAAGGTGGGAACGAGACCATTGAATACAATGCAATTTATATTTTTGACCGTTTTGTAGAGCGTTCGTCGAGCGTAGAACGCGCTACAAAACGGTCAGGTGTGAACGAGGGCTTAGAGAGTCAGTCTCGGAAGTAAAGATGGGCAGAGGTTCACCAATCTGAAAAGCTGTTGAATAATTTCAGAATAATGTTACTCAATGTAAAATGGCAAAGACTTTAAATATATCATCATCCACAGTACATAATATCATCAAAGATTTTGAGAATCTAGAGCAATCTCTGTGCACAAGGGACAAGGCCACAAAGCAATATTGAATGTCCGTGATCTTCGGGTCCTCAGACGGCACTGCATTAAAAACAGTCATGATTCTGTGATAGACATCACTGCATGGGCTCAGGGATACTTCCGAAAATCGCTGCCTGTGAACACAATTTGCCGTGCCATCCAAAAATGTAAGTTAAAGCTCTATCATGCAAAGAAGACGCCATATCTGAACATGACCCAGAAATGCCGCTGCCTTCTCTGGGCCAAAGCTCATTTAAAATAGTCTGTTGCAAAGTGGAAAACTGTACTGTGGTCAGATAAATCGAAATTTGACATTCTTTTTGGCAACCATGGGCGCAGCATCCTCTGGACTAGAGAGGAAAGAGACCTCACGGCTTGTTCACAGCGCTCATGTCGAAAGCCTGCATCTCTGATGGTATGTAGGTGCATTAGTGTGTCTGGGATGGTCAACTTGCACATCTGGAAAGGCATCACCAATGCTGAAAGATATATCCAGCGGTTAGTGAAGCATATGCTTCCATCCAGACAACATCTTTTTAAGGGAAAGCCTTTTATATTTCAGCAGGACAATACTAAACTGCATACTGCATCTATGACCGCAGCATGGCTTTGTAGTAGAAGAATCCGGGTGCCTAACTTGCCTCCATGCAGTCCAGACCTTTCAAATACTGAAAATATTTGGCGCATCTTGAAACTAAAAATATGACAAAGAAAACCTAGGACTCGGGCAAGAATGGGACATCATTCCTCTCCCAAAACTCCAGCAACTGGTCTCCTTAGTTCTCAGACATTTACAGAGTGTTGGTAAAAGAATAGGTGATGCTACAGCGTGGTAAACATGGCCCTGTCCCAACTTTTTTGAGAAGTGTTGCTACCATCAGTTCCAAACTTGCCTTATTTTTTTTTTTCTTAAAAGGGAACATTTTCTCAGTTTAAACATTTGATATGTTTTCTATTGTGAATAAAATGTGAGTTTACGAGATCTGCAAATAATTAGAATTCTTTTTTTATGTAGATAAACAGTGTCCCAACTTTTTGGGAATTGGGGTTGTACATAAATGAGGTATGTGATGGTAATGAAGACAACATAGTTAAATATGAATTCAATAGAACAATACACACATCTATAGCATGAAACTGATTTTGTTTTTTTAAATTAAGAAATCGACCAGGACATCTGGTGCAGCCTTCATGCCGGTCCTTTGATGTATCTCTGAAAAGACAAGGATGTACAGTTCCATCTTGGTGAAAGAACTGTTACCTCAACCATTTGTACATGGTCTAGTTAATATCCAAAAATAATCTGATTTATATTGTTTTGCTATATGATAAATCTTTTATATGATGGATACTTTTTAAGCTACTGTTATTACTTAAAGAACAACTCAGATTCACATTGTACTAACCCTTGCAGTGGGGCTACCCCTGAACTGCAAGGTTTGAGTGCTTGTTTTTACCCTGAGTTAAAAATAATAGTCATACTCACCTGAACCTCCGAGCTGGCCAGCTGTGATAGTGCTCCCTCCTGCCTCCTCCGCTGCAACGATTAATGTGATGACATGGGGACCGTAGACTGCTGCAGTAAAGTGGAAGAGAGAATTCAGGGGACTACTGGTCTAAGAGGAAGCCAGCTTGGATGATCAGGTGAGTAGAACTGTTATTTATGACCCTAGTCAAATACGAGCAATTAATGCTTGCAGTGCGGGGGTAGCCCCACTGCAAGTGTTAATAACATTCTGCTTTAAATCGGTTAGAATTTTCAATGGTTTACCTTTTTGTCTTCTCTAGTGAGTATGCATTAAATGTTTTTTAAACCTTTAGGGCCAGTGCCGATGGGCTTTGGGCTGCAAATTCAGCGTGCTTTTGACATCAGCTTGAGATGCTTCCGAGATCATTCATTTATTGACCAGTGCATTTGACCTCCTTCTGATCTGCTTAAGCTGCTTTTGCATGCTCAAATACTTGTAAGGAAAGAAAAGCAGCTCTGATGCAAACAAAAATCTGTTTGACACAGACCCCAACTCAGCCATTTGTGTCATAGGATTATTCCAGTAATGAGATGCCTTAAGGAGGACCTAAATTTAAAACTGACTTGGTCTGCTGCTTCTATCCACATCCATTCCTATATCCAATCCCATTCATATAAAAGTGACAGCCCCCATCTGAGTAACCAGTCAATGCCATTGCTTCACACATAACCCAGCTGCAGCAATGGCATAGAAGCAGAAATTACAGAGAATCAGTGGTTGCTCAGAAAGAGAGAGTTGAGAGTAGAACTTGATAAAATAACTTTGCTGACTTTATAGCACTCGACAATTTACGCAGCTATTTACACAGCGCACATTCACATCAGTCCCTGCCCTTAAGGAGCTTACAATCTAAGGTCCCTATGTCACATGAATGCATACAGGGCCAATTTAAACAGGAGCCACTTAACTTACCAGCATGTTTTGCAAAGCCCTGCAGATAGTGTCCTTCTGTTAGCAAGGCAGAAGTGCTCAACACTACGCCACTGTGCTGCCCTGAATATGAATATCATGAATGTTATGCACCTTAGATGGTAGACAAGTTTTTTTTTTTTTTTTTATTATTCTTATTCTAATAAAGTCACACATACTGAACCAAACACTGATGGTTCTACAAAATTATACCCCAACATGTTGTAGCTTTTTCTAAAGGTGTGCTGAGCTACAATTAGCATTGCCAAGTAGAAAGGTTTGTTTAATCGAAATGATAACTATGTCAAATATTTAATACAATCTCTGTGTTTTGTCCTTTTAAAAATTCTAGACAATAAAGTGCAGAATTGTATACAGTGGTTCAGAGAATGAAGATGAACAAAAGAGCTGTCATATGGACTCAGGTATATTTCCATTTTAAATTAAAAGTGTTCTATCATATACTGTGCATTCAGAAAGTATTCAGACTCTGCCACTTTTTTCAGGCTTTTTTATGTTGCAGCCTAATACTACCGTTGTTTAAATATTTTTTTCTCATTGATCTACACTCAGTACCCCATAATAACAGAATTTTAGAAATGGCTGTAAATGTATTAAAAAGAAAAAAATGAAATGTCACATGGGCATAAGTAATCAGACCCTTTGCTACAATACTTGAAATGTAGCTCAGGTGCCTCCCATTTCTCTTGATCGTTGCTGAGATATTTCCACACCTTGATTGGAGTCCAGCTATGGTAAATACATTGATTGGACATGATTTGGAAAGGCACACACCTCTCCTATAGAAGACCTCACAGCTGACAATGCATACTGTATCAGAGCAAAAGCCATAAGGTCAAAGGAACTGACTGCAGAGCTCAGAGACAGGATTTTTGCAGGCACAGATCTGGGGAAGGCTACAAAGAAATTATTCGGCACTGAAGGTTCCCAAGAGCACAGTGGCTTCCATAATTCTCAAATAGAAGAAGTTTTGCACAACCAGGAATCTTCCAAAAGCTGGTCGCACGGCCAAACTGAGCAATCTGGGGAGAAGGGCAACTTAAGAGAGTAAGTAAGTAAGTGAGGTGACCAAGAACCCCATGTTCACTTTGACTGAGCTCCAGAGATCCTGTGTGGAGATGGGACAAAGTTCCAGAAGGACAACCATCACTGCAGTCCTCCACCGATCTGCCCTTATGGCAGAGTGGCTAGACGGAAGCCTCTCCTCCAGTGCAAAACACATGAAAGCTCGCTTGGAGTTTGCAAAAAAAGCACCTGAAGGCCTCTCAGACTGAGGAACAAGATTTGCTTGTCTGATGAAACTAAGATTGAATTGTTTGGCCTCAATTATAAACGTTATGTCTGGAGGAAACCAGGCACGTCTCCTCACCTGCTAAATACCATCTCAACAGTGAACCGTGGTGGTGGCAGCAGCATCATGCTGTGGGGTGTTTATCAGCAGTGGGGACTGGTCAGGGTTAAGGGAAAGCTGAATGGAGCAAAGTACAGAGATATCCTCAATGAAAACCTGTTCTACAGCCCTCAGGACCTCAGACTGGGCTGAAGGTTCACTTTCCAACATGACAACGATTCTAAGCACACAGCCAAGACAACACAGAAGCGACTCCGGGACAACTCTGTCAATGTCCTAGAGTGGTCCAGCCAGAGCCCTGACTTGAACCCCATTTAACATATCTGGAGAGACCTGAAAATGGCTGTTCACCAACGGTCCCCATCCAACGTGACTGATCTTGAGAGAGGATTTTGCAAAAAAGAAAGCTTGTCGTGTCATACCCAAAAAAGACTTGAGGCTGTATTTGCTGCCAAAGGTGCTTCAACAAAGTACTGTAATTACTGTACTGTAAGTAAAGGTCTGAATACTTGAGTACATGTGATATTTCAGTTTTTTCTTTTTAATAAATTCACAGACGTTTCTAAAATTCTGTTTTCCCTTTGTCATTATGGGGTACTGAGTGTAGATTAATGATGGAAAAAAAAGAATGTAAACAACTGTAGTATCAGGCTGCAACATAACAAAACTGAAAAAAGTGAAGGGGGTCTGAATGCTTTCTGAATGCACTGTATATTGTTATGTTTGCTGATTCTTCACTCAGACCTTTAAAATGGAACTTTGGGCAAAATAGAAAATGACATAGATGATGCTGTCGACTAGCATTACTTTTTTTAATATAGTTTAATTACCTGTTGATCTTGCCAGTAGATCTGTTATTTTTCCACTTCCTTTAACAGGGTGACAGCACTGTTTGTTCTGCAGCGAAATCTTACAGAAGCATTTTCACTCTGAAAAAAAAAAAATTGCACTCCAATGTAGTTATATCGTGTCCCACATGCTCTCCGGACAGCTGCAGTGGCAGAGTCTCTTGCATCTGTGCCTGTGTGTCCAAACCCTACCTGACTCTGAGTTCTGGTTTGTAAACCTGAGCCTTTAATTAATGGTTCTGCACTATGAGGAGCTTTTCTTTTCTTCCCTGAGTATTATATATTGTGGCTATTGATGGAAAGAATACATGTGGCAGAACTGGGTATAACCGATTTAATGAAGGAGTTCCAGTCCAAACAGTGGTGGCTCTACACGCTTGGATTTGGTGTGATATGCACTTATGGTGGAGATATTTGCACAGGATAGATATAACTCTTTGTGAGTTTTATTATTATTTAGTTCACTGTTGTTTTTCTATTTCAATATATGTTGTTTTGATTTATTTAGGCTATGCAGCACTTTAATAGGTTTTGTTACTTATACACAGCATTGCAGTGTTTACTAATTTTATTAGTTCTATTACTAAATGTTGATTAGGGTAGGCTACTGTAAAGTTAAAGTGACACTAAACCAGGAGTTAGATTTTAAAAATGAATTAGAGTACACTAACTAACAGTATTGTACCTTATTTGTGCATCACTTAGCTGGAGATCCTCAAATCATCTCTGAATTAATGCTGACAACTATCCTTTCTTGTGGAGGGTGGCTACTTTTTTTCTCCATGGTCCCTGTGTGTGTTGTAGAGTAGCCACCACTCGATGCTTGCTCCCAACGGGACCAAGCTTGCTTCCCATGATGGACTACAATCTCACGTTTAGTACTAATTTGTATCACAGGAGCGAGCTTGGAGCGGTGATTACTTTACAACACACATGGACCATGAGGAACAAAAGTAGCCACCCTCCCAAAGGAAATCTCGCGACACGGCGGGGCAGCCTGCTTCCTGATTGACCAGGAAGCCAGCTCCATGCTCCCTCGTGGCACTGCCGGTCAGAGGGAAGCATTGTATTTAACCCCTGCTGACTTTTTTTAGGCATGACTTCTACCCCCCAACTACAGTTCACCAATTTGCCTCTGGAACCCAGTGTGGTAACTGTTAAACAGCTGCTGGTGATTTATTTTTATTAACTAAATTAATTAAACTCCGTGGTTATTAAATATGACCAAAAGAAAGCTCTGTCTGTCTCCGGAAATGGTTTAAAATGTATTCGTTGGGTACAGTGTTACATGACCCCTCGGTCAATTGGCAGTCACACTATCACGGCACTAAAAAACAGCCTGGAAAGAAAGTAACCGTAAAGAAATATAGTGAAAGTACGTAACACACTAGTATTGAGGTTGTTAAACTAATATTTGAAATTGAAAAGGCTGTAGCCAAAATAAATATAAATAAATGCACATGAAATAATAAAATATATATAT